CATCAATGATTTGGATGAGGGGATAAATGGGGAACTCATCAATAGCAGTATTCCAATATCTCAAGGTTTGCCACAAAGAAGAGGGAGTCAAACTATTCTCCAAGGCACCTGAGGGCAGAAAAGAAGCAATGGGTGGAAACTAATCAAGGAGAGAAGCAACTTAGAACTGAGGAGAAATTTCCTGGCAGTTAGAACAATTAATCAGTGGAACACTTTGCCTCCAGAAGTTGTGAATGCCCCAACACTGCAAGTCTTTAAGAAGATGTTGGATAGCCCTTTGTCTGAAACAGTTGGAAGGTCCCTTCCAACTCTGCTATTGTATTGTATTGTTTAGCTGTTTTCTATACAGAAACTTTTGAGTTTGCAGCAAATTTTGTATTGCTTTGGTAAATGTTTTATGATGGCAGAAAATATTGAGCTTGTTGTCATAAGCTGGCTGTATGTTCCTGTATGGCTGGAGCATTTGGAGGTGCGCAGGGGTTGTCCTTAAGGCTGTTAACTTCAAGAATCCATTCACAAAATACAGGGAGCTTTCATGACTAAATGGCATCATTGCTCAGCAACCCCCACCTCTTTCTCCAGGAGAGAAGTAAAAGAACAATTCTTGTAGTTAGAGTCATTTTCTCTATGGAAGAAATGAATAGGGTTTTGCTTCTCTGGGCGGCCAATAAACTTTACTACTGCAAAACAGCTGGATTCTGATTCTCTCTGATTCTCTGTCAAAGAAGAAAAGAGATTTCTTCCCTCCCAAAATGTAAAAAGATCATTTCGTAAAGGTTGATTCTCAAAACTTATTCAGATTTATGGGATCCCCTCATTGATACAAAATTGAGTTTTCTCTAATGTGTCTCACACTAAGCTTCCCTACAAGCTGAAGGAAATGCATGCAAGGTTGAATTGCCAGAGGATATATTTAGTTCCCCTCTGGAGTGGCAGTGAAATATAATCTCTCATCTCAGTCCCACAAGAATGAACTGCTTGCACTGTAGATACACAGGAAAGGGAAGAAGTGTATGTCACCTGATCTTCCATGTCTTGGGTTTGGCAGTGGATCATGATTCTTCAGATATATTTTGAAAGCTGCTTTGCAGCACATAACAATTTCTCTTAACTCTCTTCCAATCTATATAATGAATGAATGTTGCTTATTTTTTTAATTACATGTTATGTTATATGTCATTGTATGTATCCCCTCCCATATAAGTTGTTAGCCGCCCTGAGTCCCCTCAGGGAAAAGGGCGGCCTATAAATAAACTTATTCTATTCTATTCTATTCAATTGGGGGGGGGGGTGTTTGCTGTCTCTCTTACTGATGGGAACATCTTTTTTCTGCCATTTCTGATTATGTTGCCTTTACTTTGACCTCAGCTCACAACTGAACTAGCCTTAAGTCATCCTTCATTTTACTGATAGTAAAGTATCCTTTCCCTCTTATTCCAATTTCATTCAGGAGGTGTCAAATTTGTTTAGTTCATCTTTTACTACAAATTAGTTTAGTTCATCCTTTACTACAAATTTTTTAGTTCACCCTTTACTTTGGAGTGAAGTCAGGTGTCTGCTATGACTTGAAATAGAGGCCACTGAGGCATGGTGTGGATTGGCAATGGAAACAGAAATATCAAATAGATACGATTTTCTGCTGATTTCAAGATAAAGTTGTAAGATTGTAATTAATAGAGAAAGGCCTTAAGTGAATTTTCATCCAAGTAAAAGTAGCAATATATTGCATTTTTGCTTTCTAATGACACTAAAAGGCAGCTAAACTACAGCTACATTTTGAATTATTGCATAATAGTGCTGTCATTGCAGTGTTAAGTATACGTCAGTGATGGAAAATAGAATCTTGGTTGAATAAAATGGAATTTTGGCAAGAGCACATTTGGGAACATGCCTAATTAAAAAGATCTGCCAAAACATGGTGCCCAGTTTTGAAAGATGTTATAGAGTTGTCCTCCAAGAGTGTCTGAGGGAATAGAAACTGCCACAGCACCCATGGCTATGCTTGGTTTTTGATGGAGCTGTGAATCACACTATGTCTATTCACAAGGCAGACTCTCAAAAAAAGAGATAGGAAATATTAGAAGGTCCTCAAAAATTTTCAACATCCTAAAAACTTTCCTCCATTGCATAATAAATCAGAAAGATAACAAATTAAGGGGTGACACTTATTGTCATGTCTACATGATCAGTCTACTACTGCCTGTAAAATTAGAACTAGGATTACTCCGGGTTGTTGTTCGGTTAAATATTAACAGTAGAAGTGACAATTAAGGCAAAGAGACAGTCTTTTGATGTTAATGGTTAAGTTAAACTGAACTTTAAAAATCTCTAAAGACTTTACAAAGTAAAACTAACAGTCATTTCTTTAGACAGAAGTGGAATTACAGCTTTCAAGTGATTTGGGAAAGAAGGACTAAAGACATCCGGGATGGAGTGGGTTAGAAGTTCCTCAACATTCCTGTATATCAAAAAACTATAGTTTCTTTGAAAAGCCTAATTGTTATTTAGAAATCACCATTCATTAAAAAAACCCTCTCATTAAGTCTCCTTCCTTGAATATATAAACTGAATTCGCAAGGAAAATTCAAAGAACATTCTTGAAGTTGGACAGTCTTAACAAATAATAAAATCAAACCTCTGTTTTTTTTTTTTACTTCTTACTGTTCCATTCATAAAACATTTCTTTTTCTGTCCTCATCCCCAATTTCTTTTCTGCTTAAGATCTATTTTCTTTAAACTTGCAGGAATATGCAAAACAATGTCATGATCAGCAACTAGGTAAACATATTTCAACAGTTTGGAACATTTTAAAAATAAAACTCTCAGGAAGGTTTCTAAAAGGTTTGTGGTGGGGCAGGTAAGAATGAAGACTTGTTTTCCACTTTACTATCAAATATCAAATATATGCATGCACGTACAAAATGCATAAATACAAGCAGAACAAGAAGGTAGCCAGTTTTTCATAGCGATGGCTGCCCAATTCCTTGCAGTATTAAAAAAAAAATTACATTAACTGACTGTTCCTTTATAGAATGCTTCAGTGTCTCACCCTTTTTGAAATTCTAATGCTTGGATGTTAGCAAGGACTTTCTTTCAAGAAACCATTTAACCTCTCCAAATATATAACTGCCACTTTCGTTTATCCAGGATTGTCCTTGAGAATCAGAAATCCAATTAGATGTGCAGCAGAGACGAGATGTATGACATCCTGCTCTAATCCAAGACTCACAACGCATTCTTCCACCTCCATGTAAACATTTGGTACACTTGAGATTTACATCCGCAATTTTACTTACACAGGCTCCTCATAAGCTCATGGTTAGTATTAACTTTCCTCTTCTGTTTTTGATTTACATTTCCAGAATCTTTTTTTCTGTGCTGTAACTAAGCCATAGAAAATGAAATTAATTCATGCCTCTGAAGACACACGAAGTTCTTTTTCTTAACTAAACTGTGCATGTATATACACATTCTCTCTCTATATAGAATTAGGCTTAAATCCCTCCAGCGCCATCCATGCCTACTCTTGCTCAGCATCTCTTATTTTAGGAACGTAAGGCTCACTGCCCTGATTTGTCTTCAGGCACTTGTTTTTCCTGATCTCCCGCTTTCTTTTTTAAAAACAGCACTGCAGCAAACGTCTCGGTGTTGCCTAAAAATACACCAGTCTTTGCATGAAAACTCTTACCAGTGGACAGAGAATCCCAGCTTGGGTGAGTATTGTGTCAAAGTGTCTCTATGCCCTGAGATAGCATGACGGCTTCTGTTTCAAGTATCCTGACTTTGCCCTACCACTTCATCCTGTTGGTACTTGAAGCTGCTACTGACGCAGCAATTGCATTTGCACACACACAAAAAAGCTCACCGCAGCTCAGCCGTGCCCAGGGCTTTGCCTCTTCCCTTAAAGGCGCAGAACAAGATGCTCATTTGTCCCTCGGATGCTTGGTAAAATTGGTCTGACTTTAATGGGAAGTTGGAGAGATGAAAAAGCCACTCAGGTGGGTTAACCTTACGGCAAACAATGAAACAGATTGATCCTGGTCTTTGGGACTGTCCTGATACCTGATGCCCCCTTTTTCTCCATCGACCAATCAGGTTCGTTCGTTGTAAAAAATGCCTAACTAGGAGGAATATCACACAGCTTGTCAGTGCTCTTTCGGGTTGTCGTTGCTATAGGATCACACAGAGTCTGAAATTGGAAAAGAAACCAGTCTTCTATCCTGGAAATAATATAATTTAGTTCTGCACATACAGTATGTCGATAAGTCTGAACTAGAGTTAATTTCTTCTGCAAAAATGGCTATCCATAGGTGGTAAGAGACTAATGATTTTGTTTTTTCTAAACTCACTGCTCCTTTAATAATTCTTTTCTTAGGACTGAGAAGATTTGGTATTGGTATTTGGTATTTATTCGATTTGTAAGCCACCCTATTCCCCGGAGGGACTCAGGGCGGCTGAACAAAAACCAGGGGAAGGGGAAAACAAATACAAAAAGTAAGACAAACAGGACAGTGATACAACAATTTAAAAAACACAGCAAGCACAGCAAATTCAAGTAAGTGGGGGAACTCAACCCCACACTTGCTGGGACAGCCAGGCCTTAACGGCTGTCCGGAAGGCCTGAAGGGCGGCGAGGGTCCAAATCTCCATGGGGAGCTCATTCCAAAGGGCCGGAGCAGCCACAG